CGCACGTGGCGCGGCTCTTTGTTTTGCAGGGGTGGGAAGCGGAGGGAAAGAGAGAGGGAGAGCGAGAGGGGCGGGGGAGAAGGACAGAGAGTCACGCGCGTGCCGGTCACCTACGCCTGCCCTGCCTCCGAGCCAGTGACACCCCATTGGACCTAAATCGGCCGGCGGCGGCCCCCCGTCCCGTCCGTCCGACCCCCCAAGCCCCGGGATGGCTCGACCCTCCTTAGCCTCGCCCTTTGGAGTTTGAACCGAGCTCAGCCAGCCTCAGGCAGCGCGCGCGATTCTAATTTTCCCCGTCGTTGACGTGCCGTGGAGTGGAGTAAGGGGACGCTCGGTCTCGGGGGCGCGCGGTTGAAGTAGGAAGAAGGGTAAGCCGCCCCCCTCCCCCTCCCTGCACGCCCTGTTGCCCCCGAGTGCCTGGGCTCTTATTTCAGGGAAGGTTAAGACGTCCTTCGCAACCCTTTGCCGAGCCGAGATGGGCGCCCCAAGGACAATATTGCCCGCCAAGCTAACTCATCCGCCCTGGCCCGGGCCAGCCCAGGAACAACCCCGTGGGTCGACGTGAGAGTCCAGAGGTCTCCCGTGGCTGTCCCTTTTATTTTGAACCTGCACCCGCGGCTGTCGCGCACATCCTGCATCCGATGGCCTCCTCCCCTCCCTGTTGTAGGCCCCCTCCTGGCTCAGGTGGTGCGCCCGCGCCCCGGCCACCCCGCGGCTCCGGCCTGCGCCGTAAATAAACATACGGCATGCCGGGGCAGGTGCACCCCGTGGCGGAGCGTGGAGGTGTATTGAACTTTCACTCTTTTATGAGGCCGGCGGGGAGTTGGCGGGGAGCTGCTGTGGCACACGGGGGCACACGGGGGCGCGCTCGCGCGCACGCACACACACACCTGTGCACCGCATGCGCTGGCTGGGGCTGCTGCTGCGCCACCCCTGCATGAGTTCTTCTCCGTCTGCAAGCTCCCCTGATGCTCACGAAGGGATGACAAATTCCTCATACTCATATGTCGAGGCAGCCAAGAAAGAAATAAAGAAATGCCCGCTCTGAATATGAAGGGGGCAGCAGACGCGCGTGGATCGGCGAGAGGCTGCGTGCTGCACTTCATGACCTCGGCGCTTCCGCCGAGCTTCGCCGGACACAAACCGACCGGACTCGCCGCATATGTGAGGAGGGATGGGACAGGAAGGGGAGCGGGAGCGGGAGCGGGAGGGGCGCCGCCGCGGAGCTGGACGTGATTTAGGGCCGTGATAACCCTTCGGCCGACTTGTCCCCTCTAATATTGTGCGACTCCACTTTGTCAGGCCGGAGCGGCCGGATAGTGGCCCGGGTTAAGCGGGCCGGAGCGAATAACGCGTCTGGACGACATCCTACACGTCATCCCTCGGCGGGGACCCCCCTCCGCCCAAGCACCACCGCGGGGTGGGCTCGGGGCACAAACAGAACTATAACCGCTTCTTTGCTGTCGCTAGCCGCGGGCGCGTGGCCCGCACGGCAGATGTGCACCTGCAGCTGCTGCCGCAGATGTGGCAGGCGGCAGGTGCGGCGCGCGCGGAAGCGCGTCCCCCGAGCAGACAGCAACAGTGAGGGCAATAACAGCAGCTGTTGCTACAACCTGCGCGGCAGTTCTACGATCAATAAGGGTGCGTTTCTGCGTAAGGGTGAGCCCCTCGCACCCCGCCGCGCCGCGCCACGCCTCGTGGCAGCCCAACCCTCGGCCCGGGCTCGGGGTGGCCCCCGCCCTGGCGCGGCTCGGCGCGCCACCGCCCGCCGCCCCTAGGCCCGACACCAGCTCTCCGCCCCTCGGCGTCTAGGGTGGCCGCACGCCGCCCGGCTTCTGCAGCGGCCACGTCTGACGCATACAGGCGCAACGGCAAAGGGGAGACGGGAGATGTGACGGAATTCGTCACTGCATCATATCTTCAGACGCGCAGATTGCATTCTCGAATAGCAGCTGAACAACGTCGATCGCGTTTAGACTCCTGTCCAACACAATACCCAAGAGTGACGAGACTGCAGCGCTTTACATTGGGATTGGGGCGTATTGGGGCCACCCTAGTTGTTGCCGAGCAGACGGCTTGGGGCGGCAAACGACCCACCCTTCCCCTCGCACCCCACCACCGCGGCCCGTCGCGCCCCGCCGCCCCACTGCCACAGGAGGGAGGCCGGCGTCCCCACGTGGGGCGTCGGGAGGGCGGAATGTTGGGAGGGCTCAGCAGCAGTCCGCATGGCCAGGTAAAGTACAGGCCGGGACAAAAAGCTCATTCGCGCACGGCCGTGCGTGTATACTGTGCCGACTGTGCACGGGCTCGGGCTGTACAACTCACCCCCCAACGCTCGGGGAGCGTCCAGAGAGTACTTCCCGTTTTCCTGATATTCATTCAGGGGAGCTCGGCGCCTGCGAGACTCGGGGTAGGCCACCCTGCAGCGCACGCATGCACTTCAGGCAAGATGTTGCCTACCAATCAGGCGCAATGAGGAGCTTCCAGGAATACTACTTTCCGGATGACGCCGCCTTGTCGAAACTATCCAGGATCATAAAGAATCAGGGATCTGAAAGGTGTCTGGGTCACGCTACCCAGTCCTCTGTCGGGCGGACAGCAGCGGGGTGGCGATCCACTGAGCCCCCGGGCTGGAGGGGCTGGAGTGGTGCGTGCGCGGAGTGCAACGGTGGGGCGGCGGGAGCCCAGTTACCCAGGTAACGCACTGCCAACAATCTCCCTCCCACTGCAGCCCCCTAGACGCCCCCGCAGCCGGCATGTAGACGGGCGCACCCGGCCGGAGAGCATCGGAGCGCAGCGCAGCAGGAGCAGGTAGGCAAACCAAACCGCGTGCGCACCGGCGCTGTAAGGTACGCCGGACGCAGGGCGACCGGCGATCCTTGAGTCTTTGAATATCCCGCCGTGTCAGGCCAGACGCAAGGGCCAGCGCGTTGGAGCAAAACTGCATAGTTCAGCAGAATAGGGATGGACACACGGCGCAGCCGTGTGGAGCAGAGTTAGTTACGTATCAGCCGCCGAGACTGTCGGACGAGGCGGGCAACCCGTATCTCCAGTAGAGTGTTTGTGAACCCACTGTCTTAAGACTGTTAACACCGCAAAGCTCAACTGTAAACTACTGTGAACTGTGAACCACCGATTGCAACTGAAATACAAGTGCTTTGGACATCATCATCATATCATTTGTTCATCTTTCGAATCGACTGTTCATATTGAACGTTACAGCGCCGTCACCGCCGCTGTCGGAGCCGATCTGTCACTGCAACCGTAACCGTCCTCTCTTCTCCAGCTGGTCCACTCCCTCGGTACCCGTGTTGGCACCTCCCGGTGGTGGCAGCCGCCATGTCGACGCAGCTGTCGCTGTCGTCGCAGCTGAAGCCGCTGCAGCACCTGAGCAAGGCCGACTGGCAGGCGGGGGTGTGGGCGCTGCGGCAGTGCGGCCAGACGGCGCGCCACGACGGCTTCCGCTTCCGCAATGACGCGCGGACGCTGCGCAACGAGACGCGCGTCCGCACCAAGTGGGACGCCTACCACAACGACTGCCGGCTCGCCGACCGCGTCACCGAGGTGAGGCCCAGCGCGGTCCGGGACCCGACCTCCGGGTCACCGCGAGCGCGAGGGTTCATACCTCACCGACCGCACACTGCTTGCAGGTCGGCCGCTGGCAGGAGATCCTCGGCCGCTGCCTGCGCCAGGTGGAAGCAGAGCAGCGAGACCTGGCCGCCGAGAAGGAGATTTGCGAGCAGGAGCTGGAGAGCATCGCCACGTGTTTCTTGGTGGAGGCCGAGTGCCAGGCCATCATCGACCGGCGGGTCGTCCCGGACCTGGTGGACGCCGAGCGCGAGCAGGAGCTCAAGGATGTGCGTAGCGTCGGGGTGGGGCGTGGTGGGGCACTAGCTCTACTCGGGTGACACGGTACATGGGCTCGGCAGGAGATCGCGGCGCTGGAGGCGCACAAGGCCATGCTGACGGAGCGCTGCCACGCAGCCTTCGAGCAGCACAACCGCCTGGAGGAGGCAGCCTGCAGCCTGCGGCAGGCTACCCGCGACCAGGACGACACGCTCGAGATCGACCACGACAACTTGGCGCGAGACCGCAGCTGCGCCGGCATCACGTTCAAGCCCGACCCCACCGAGATCGTCAACAAGTACGTACTATATAAGCAGTCGAGTCTGCAAGGATGCCTGCCGACGTGCTTCACCGTGTCCTTGCAACAGCATCGTCCCGTACGAGTCCTGGCTCGACCACTGCCGTTGCACCAAGCTCCGCGGGGACAACGAGCTCGCCAGCAGCGCCAAGCTGCGCGAGGCCATGCAGGTGGCGCGGGCCAGGGCCAGGAACGACCTCACCGCCCACAAGGACGCGACCGAGTTCGCCATGCGCAAGTGCGTCTACGAGACTCAGCGAGCTAAGAACGAGCTCGAATGGCAAAAGATGAACGTGAGTGCACCTGAGCAGGCGTAGGTGACTCGGACTCGCATGCGTCGCTTGTGGTTCTGGTTGTAAGAAAGCGATCGTTACAGCTCAAGGAGGCCATGGCACGGCTGCACAAGGAGATAGCGGACCTGACCAACGCGCTGCGCGACAAAACAGAGTGCCTGATGCTGGCCGAGACCCGCCTTGAGAACCGCAAATACCGGCCGGGCCTCGAGCAGGCGCGGGACGAGCCCATGGTAGGGCTGTGCGACGAGGTGCTGCAACTGCGCAGGACCATGCAAGAGCTGCAGGACCGCCTGGACCACGCAAAGTAGGTGCAACGCGCGGAGGGACGGCACCTTGAAGTGCAGAAGGAACGAATTACGACATGACTTGACGGCGCCTCTTCTGTCTCAGGGCAACGTACAACGGCATGGAGGACCTCCTGGTGGCGACCGATAAGGACCTGTCGGGTAAGATACTCGCCCTGACGGCGGCCATCCACTGCCTCGACACCCACAAGCGCTTCGCCATGGGCGACGCCGTGCCCTTCCGTACAGAGACCTCGCGGAACGTGGCGCTCACCAAGGTGGAAAACGAAGTGGCTCGGCATTGAGCCGAACACGCAGGCAGGATTGGTTGATTGGGATCATACGAAATTTGTACATTGCTTCAAGCTGACCATTAAGGACAGCGATTTCTCACAAGCACAATATAAATTTCGAAAAATACTGCACAATTGTGAAGATTACTTTAATTGCATTATTTGACATCTTTGCATAGTCCATTTTCGCCTCCGCCCCAGCTCAGGAAAAGGAACAATGATGGTAGAGCAAACAATAAGTCATTTATAAAACGTGCTTTAATGTTGCCAACCTTGAGTAGTGTGGTGGTACGGTAAAAGAACATAGTACAATATACTACATTACATAATGTTAAAAAATTAAAA